GGGCTATGTAGGAGTGAGTAAGTGTTGAATGAGGTCTCTAGGGGCTGGGTGGGATTTGGGGGGGGCTTTAGGGGCCAAGTAAACTATAGAGGATGCCAAGAGCCTGGTTGGGGTCTCTAGAGGCTGGGTGGGATCTGGGGGTTGGGGGGAGAATGCATATAATTGATACCAAGGGGCTGCTCCTCATTCTCTCTCTCACTCTTCTCCCACCCCCTCCACCAGCCAAGTGCCGCTATGCGCTGGGTATGCAGGACCGCACGATCCCCGACAAGGACCTGTCAGCCTCCAGCTCCTGGTCAGACTCCACTGCCGCCAAGCATAGCCGGTGAGGGACCCCCCTCCCATTCCTGAAACCCATGGGTGGAGGGAGAAAATATTATTTGGGGTTGCTGAGTACAAACACACACACACACACACACACACACACACACACATACACATACACACACAGCAGGTAAATCTGTGGAGGAGAAGGGGCGGGAGGGGGTGGGGATCAAGGCCCCCACAGTGAGAGAGGGGCAGGGGTCCCCACGGTGAGGGAGGGAGTGGGACAGGGGTAGAGGCTGGGGCGAATGGGGCCCTGAAGACAGGGTGGCTCACAGTGGCAATTTGTAGGGGGTGCATGTGGGTGCATGTGCACCCCCTGAGAGTTCTGGTGCACCCCTTGTCAGGCTGTGCTCTCTGTTTAAGTGCTGGTGCCCCCCCATGAGCATCGGCCAGGGAGCGGGGCCACCAACAAAAGCGGCTGCACCACTTTCAGAAGTGGCCACGGGACTTCTGGAAGCAGCGCGGTCACTTTTTGGTGAGATCGGCCATGGGGGGGACTGCCCCCTGGTCATTGAGATCGGCCACAGAGTCGCTGACTGTTGTCAGGTAGGGCACATGTCCCCCCTGACTCAAGAGGCACCAGTTGCCCATGGTGGCTCATCAGATGGTCAGAGCACCAGTGGTTCCTCCAGGGGTGTGGGGGGGCTCTGAAATGCTCCCTGAAATGCCACTGCTCACACCCCAGAGGAGACAAGGGGGCATGTGCCCCCCAGATTTGTGTGCAGGGCAGGGTTGGGCTGCTGCTGCAGGCTGGGGCTCTGCAACCCCCTGCC